AAGTTTCTTATTATCTACAATGCATGTTTTAAGGGTTGAATCTAAAGATGATATTCGGTTTTTCACAAGATTCAATTCATCATTATGCATACAAGCATTGGAAATAGAAGTAGATGAAACATGATCATTTCTAAAAGAATTAAAATCTTTTCTAATAGTTCCTACTTCTATCATGGCATCATTATTAGCATGAGTTAAGCTAGCAATAGATGAAGACATGTTATTATTTTCCAAACTTAATAACTCATTGTTTTCTTTCAAGATAGCATTCTCTTTAACAACAATATCAAGTTTAGAAGCTAGCGACTCATGATCGGATTTTAAACTAATATGCTTGCTTTTAAGATCAATAAAATTATTTTGTAATTTAGTATAGGCATGAGATAATCTTTCATATGTACAAGCGAGTTCATTAATAGATAAATCATTATCGGAATTGGAATCGCTTACTACACAAGAATTATCCTCTTGTGGCCGTGTGCATGATGCTCCACATGAACTTGAAGAAGAATCCTCCAAAGCTTGTCGGATTGCCTCCAAGTCCCCTTGATGTGCTTCAATAAATTTCCAAAGTTTGTAAGCACTATCAAAATGAAAAAATTTGTTAGAAAAGGATGAGTCAAAAGCATTAAGCAAAAATTCTAACAAACGCTTGTTCATTGTAAACATTTTATTATCATGATCGCTCCACTTGGATTTCTCCAATGTGGGCACAATATAAGCACAATCAATAATTTTCCATAAGTCAATATTTCTAGATTCAACAAATAGTTTAAATCTAGAAGCCCATTGTGCATAGGAAAAAAATTTCTATATTTTGGAGCAATATTTGGATTATAGCCTAAACGAAATACATTTATATTCATGATATATATATGAAAATATGCAAGCAAGACAAAAGTAATCATAACTAGATTAGCACAAATAAGATAACTTGGATCTTTAACTCAAGGTGGTTAGACCTTAAATCAAAGAGCACCAAGCTCTGATACCAATTGTTAGACCCTAGAGGGGGGTTGATTAGGGTCTTATGCTAATCTAATCTGATTTTATGCTAATTAAAACTAATTAATAAGTTATCCTAGCAAATATAAAATACAACAAGATATATGAGCTAGGATAAGCAATATGAACAATGAGATATATCCTAACAATGGGATATACTATGAGATATATGCAAGGATATACAAATTAACACAAGAGTGAAATAAACAAACTACAAAAGTGATAGTGCAAAATAAACAATGCAAACACACAATATGGTCACGGAGTTCGGACCTTCCGTCCTACGTCTCCGCTCCCCACTCCCGGGGAGAAATCCACTATCACGACCAGGTTTTCTACGTTTATCCGAATAACGTTTACACCTCACACTCGGTTTTCTAGCTAAACGAAAACTTTACAATCACCACTCTTGCAATCCCACTCTACACCCTCTCAAGTGTTGAACTAGACCTGTCTCCCTCAAGTGCTCGGTTACAACCTCTCCCTAGGTTCGTCAACCGACGACACTCCTCTTGGGACGATCCTCGACTCTTGCCACACACTTCTCTCGGTGTACAAGTGTATTACAAAGTGATTCTTATAATTAGGCTCAATACAATAAATATTTGTTCTCTACTATGGATGAGAACATAATGAAATCTCACACTTAATTGTTACAACTCTCACAACCCCAAATATATTATGAATACAAATACAATAAGCTCAAGTGGGTGTGTGTAACAATGAGATAAAATCAAATCTAACTCAAATAGCAAACTAGCAATAATAAGAATATGAAAATCAATAATAAAATTGCTAGAGAAAAGAATTAGAAAACTTCTCAATAGATCAAGAGGTAGAGGGAGAATAGTTGGAAGCTCAAACTTTAATAGATGATCTCCTCAAGCTCTTGTGGAATTGATTCACAAAACCGAAACACTCAAATGCTTAAAAGCTTCTGAAAACAAACTTAAACAGAACCTTAAACCCTTGTTTAAACCTTTCTTAAACTTGTTTAAAACTTTTTGGATTGCCATAAGAACTGAGGTATAAGGGGGTATTTATATGAAACCCCAAAGCCAAGAGAAAACCAAGAAAAGACCAAAAAACCAACTCAGCAACGGCTTTGGAAACTAGCCGTTAGAAAGCAATCATTAGTTCGGCGGTCGACCACGACGGTCGACCACGAGCAACAAAAAAATAACACTATGGCTCTGGACATGCGACGGTCGACCGCGACGGTCGACCGTGAAAGTCTCTGGACTACTTACGGTTAACCTCTATGACTCAGGAAAACAGGTTTTGAAAGTGAAATGCTGATTTTAAAATACTGTTTAAAAATATCAAATAAATTCTAAAAAATGTAAAACTTTGGAGAATGATTGTAGACATGATAATAAACATGCTACAATGACTGGTTTCCAAAAAAGACTTCCCAAATAAAAATATCATCATTTTACAAAATAGTACAAAACATGAAAATGTAAACACATAAGTTTGATGTTTTGACCTAAACCAACTTTTGAAACTTTACAAAATGATTTTATAGACTTGAAGAAAGATGTAAACTATTGTTATGAAGTTTATAGACAATGAATATAGTATTTTATCAAAATACACATATAATGCACTAAAACATGATTTCATTGAACTAACTAAAATTGATATTGATGAAATCATATATATGCATGTAAGTATGAAACAAAAATATGTTTTTTAATTATATTCAATTGTTTCATAGTAAAACTTGAAAACTATCAAACCAAAACATATATGTATATATATAACTATATATATAAAAACCAAATATGTGTGTGTATATATGATTGAGCTTAAAGTACTAACACACATAATATAAAACCTAAACTAAATATACCCAAGCTTGATTGATCTTCGATGTAGCTCAACTTGGTACACTATGCGGATGAAGCTTGAACTTGATCTTTAACTTGAATTGCATAAGCTTCACTCCACTATTCCGCCAACCTCCATTGAATATGATCGTTGAGACTCTATTCCATCCATCCTCCAACTCGTTGTTTGCCTAGAATAAATACGAAAACACAAACACTAGACAAATAACATTAGAAGTAAATTGTTTGTTAAACATCATCAAAACAAGAAGGCCAACATAAATTGCTATAGTTATCTTCATATCGCCATAGCTTGATGTGTTGCTCAAGATATAATAAGCCTTTGAAATATTAGGAACCAAAGACTCCCAAAGACTGCACTAAATTTGGAACAATTTGTAAAGAACAGAAATGGATTATGTGAAAATAAAATCAACTAAAAAGTGAATATCTGTTTTATATCCGTGGTCGTATTTGTTCCGATTCTGAAATATTTGAATCGTATCCGTGTCCGATGTGTGCGGATATAGATAATATTTTTTCCTACCGAAGATAATCCGTATTTATATCCGTATAAAAAACGTCTTTTTTGTTAGATCCCGCCTCGTCTTCGGCCAGTTCGTCTCGGCTAGTTCGCCTCGGCCAATTGTTTTTTTTTTCCGTTGAGGTCTAAGCTTTTGACTTATTGGAGGTCTGTTGATGATTTCTTGACGTGGTTTTTTCCTCGTTCTTTTGGTTTCTTGTTCTAGCGGTCGGAAAATATAACTCTCGAGATCTTACGGTTAAATTTGTTTTGATTGTGATTCCTTTTGGTTTTGTCTCTTTTTAACTCTTTTTTATATGTTGTAAAAATTATGAAAACCAGGAATTAAGAGCTTTTTTCTTTTAAAGCCTTGAGAGGGCCTGTAAATTGCTATAGTTATCTTCATATCGCCATAGCTTGATGTGTTGCTCAAGATATAATAAGCCTTCGAGATATTGGGAACCAAAGACTCCCAAAGACTGCACTAACTTTGGACCAATTTGTAAAGAACAGAAATGGATTAGGTGAAAATAAAATCAAATAAAAAGCGAATATCTGTTTTATATCCGTGATCGTATTTGTTCCGATTCTCAAATATTTAAACCGTATCCGTGTCCGATGAGTGCGGATATAGTTAATATTTTTTTATTACCGAAGATAATCCGTATTTATATCCGTATAAAAAACGTCTTCTTTGTCAGATCCCGCCTCGTCTTCGGCCAGTTCGCCTCGACCAGTTGTTTTTTTCTTTTTCCGTTGAGGTCCAAGCTTTTGACTGAATAGAGGTCTGTTGATGATTTCTTTATGCGGTGAAAATAAAATCAAATAAAAAGCGAATATCTGTTTTATATCCGTGATCGTATTTGTTCCGATTCTCAATTATATATTTTTGAGCAGTTTGGTGTATAGTAACAACTTTCGAGTTAATTATAATACTTACAGCAAAATATAGCAATCCATAGCAAAACAACATTGTACATTGAATGTTGAAATATAAAATGAGTTTAAAAGGATAGTTTGGGTTTGGGGGTGATTTTGTTGAGTATAAAACTAAATTTGAGCTTTTGGCCAAAACCGTGATTTTAGTGTTTTTTCTTGCGGGGTTTGGTTTTGAGGGTCGCCAAGTGTTGACGGTGCATTGCTTTTTGTAAGGTGCCCTTGCTAGTACTCACGGTTTTGGTTGGTGATGGTTTGGTGGAGGTTTAAGGGGGTTTATGAGGGTCGATTAGGAATTTACGGTTTAGGTTGGTTATGGTTTGGTGCAGGATTAAGGGGGTTTATGAGGGTAGATTAGGAATTGACTTGGTATGATTAATTATCTTGCTACTTTTGTTAAACAAATCATTTGTAATGTACTCTCCTCAACAATATTAATAATGAGGAAATAATGTGTATAAAATGACAACTCATTTTGCTAATGAACTACCAATAAATGATCATGTGACGAGTCTCACATTGCTAATTACATTAAAAGGTGTGGACCCACCTCACAACTCTATCTTTTAGTACCCGATTTAGTCAGATAAAGCCGCCACTTCATACCCATTATTCCTTAATAATAATAATAATAACAATAATAATAAAACAAGTACTAAAAAAAAGAATATTGTGAATGATTATCACCGCACCGAGAGGCTGAATTTTGATAACATAAATCATTACTGATCATCTCAGATCAAAATGTATATATGGCTTGAAGTTCTTTTATTAAATTAGAACGAAGTAGGGATTACATCATAATCCTCCTTCAACCATGCTTCTCATATTTCTTGAGTTCAAGCGAAATAAAGCCCTATAAACCATTTAGAACTATTTGTCTAAGATCAAAATACAAGCTGACTTATGTATGCAAACTAGAACATCAAACTCATAAACCATGTTCCTGATGCTACAATTTGTGGCTCATACCGCATGTGTACAAGCTATGCTGCTGTGTTGATTGATGCATTGCAGCATTGGAGACTGCAAAACATTTGAATGTGGAAGAACTTCAGAAACCACTCAATAGTCATCACCTCTAGAGATAACCTCCTTGCAAGTTGGCCGGAGCAAAATCGTGTGCTCAAACTGAGAAACATAGCTTCCTTTTACATCGCACAATGGAGGATACGGCTTCAAAAGCAATGCACAAATCAAACAATGGAGAATAATGTTACTTGCAAGAACAAGAAAATTCAATACTTGAAAGAACAATCACATAATATTTACGTGTAACAAAATTAATGTAATGGCTAAGATCCCCAACTGAAAATATTATGACGAATAGATATGTGATTCTCCATATACAACAAAAGTAAGGGTAAAAGTAATGGGCATAAAAGATATGGTATAAGAAGCTTTAATGAATTTGGCTGCAATCAACTTGGATGAAGATAAAAGTGAGAAGGCATCTTGTGCTCAGAATTAGGGAAGCAAATTGATTTCGGATCCCGAGTTAGAAGAAATTAACTATTGCAAAAAATGTTTAAAATTATCAAGATATGTGTGTATGTATGATTCAAATGAAGCGGGTAAAGTTATTGAGGCATATACTGACAAGGCGCTGCATCTTTTTTCCAGAATTACACAGAACAATAAGACTTGTTGAGAAGGAAAAGGGAGTTTCAGTAAGAAATTATGTGCAATTTAGTATTTGCTTAATCAAATAAAGAAATAACAGAAATAAATTAACTAATAACATCTAATGCTTATGTTCTCCTTTCTGTTCATTTTAATTCTTTTTCTTTTTCTAATTACTGGGTTTAAAGCTTCCCACAACCCAATCCCACTCCCCACCATCGCTGAGCACAGACTGTCAATCATCCATATTAACCTTCATACTTAAAAATACACTCTCGGCTAAATAATTGAAAACAAAAGCAGCAATACATACCTGAACAATGCCAGCATCGCACAAGTTCTTTAGCGCCATTAGGTACTTTGTCTCTCCAACGCGGTCTAGGTAACGCCGGCAAAAGGCCAAAGTCGAAAAGTGTTTGTTAATTGTTCCAAGTAGTTGCTTAGCTCGAGGCAACCTTAATGGTACATGGCCAGCATCAAAGTTCTTCATGTAATGGCTGCACTCGAGGTCTTCTCTAACATATCCTTTGCCTACAAAATGAAACGTGTAATAGCATTAATGAGTTTGAAGTCACATGATTCTCTTGGATGCATTGTCTTCGACATATTAACTTAGCTATGTAATTATTATAAACTACATCTAGAGTAACAAGTTATACCATGCTTTCATACATCACGTAACTATGTGGGTTAAGTTAAATCTGAACAGTAATATGAGAAAAATTCCCCTTCTTATATAATATATACACACAAACATTACATTACACGGTTGAGCAGTCAATATACCTGTTGAACCAAAAGTCTCAATTGCAAAAAATTCACCCTCCTCCATCTTTGTCTGCTCACCACCTTTTACCTGTTGAACCAAAAGTCTCAATTGCAAAAAATTCACCCTCCTCCATCTTTGTCTGCTCACCACCTTTTACAATTGGAACAGATTTTCCAGCATGTATTTGATTCACCCTCCTCCATCTTTGTCTGCTCACCACCTTTTACAATTGGAACAGATTTTCCAGCATGTATTTGGTAAGGCCCTATGCTATGTCCATTCAAATTCCGAATACTTTTAACTGCAAAATGGTGAAAAAGAATCTCCTAAGGAAGCAACATATAATCAAATGACGAATAATTTTAATGCTCAATATCAGATTTATTGACATAAAGTAATGAAACAAGATTTGTACACAAGATCAATACAGCCAGTCAACCAAATATATCAGATCAGCTCATCAAGCAACTTAAAACTTACAAATAGCTATCAAATATATAATGTGAAACAGTTAGATGTGTGTTTCCAAGGAGATGTGTGTTTCCAAGGAAACAAGAGATTAATATTACCATCCCCATGTTATATTAAATATATCATAAGAAAAGTTTAAGAAAATCACACAAAATTTTATACCTTGGAACACTTTCCCATTAATTTCAACCTCATATGATTCCATAACCTCTTGGATTGCAGCACCAACATCACAGAGTCGCACATCTATTCCAGATTCCTGTGTATGCACAAATAAGACACTAATAGAAAGAAATAGCTGAAAGACAATCTCTTCATAATAAGTCATTATATTATCTTTTTCTTATGAAGCTTCAATAACTTTTGACAAACATATTAATCTGCATAAGTGAACAGAGCCTAGCGTTGAGTGTAAACATGCTCCAGTTTTGTGTCCCCTTCACAAGAGTAACGATTCAAGTATAAATCTTAGTACACTGCAATGAGGAAATCATTTATCATTTTCTCATGATTATGTTTGATAGGTATTATGTGATAGCATGTGTTTTAAAACTACCAGACATTGTTCTCATCCAATGCTCAAAATCCGATTCATATACACCAGATATACTATGGATATGCATCCCATTCCCTCATTCTGGCTGTTCAGTATAGCATCATTTGGCAGACTTTAAGTGAACATTAGGAATGACAGAACGAGAACTGTCTGAAAGTCCTCAATAACGCATTTCTTGTTATTAAAACTACTTTCAAAGTAGAATAGAAATGTTTTGGTCTTGCAGGGATGGACATGCTAAAAATAAATTGAAGAAAATATTAAATGATACAATTGTAAATTTAGTTTCAGTAGAGCCACCAAAAATTTGCCTATATTAGACTCAATCTACTTGTAGATTTTTAAATGATCTTTTTCACTTTTCCGTTGGATTTAACTGTCTTGGGTGTGTATGCAAAATGGCTTCTTTTCGTCAGGACATAGCTTCTGTGCACTTTTTCCGTTGTCTAGGATTAGATGGCTGACAACAGGGATTCTCGCGTTAAAAATTGCAAACAGCTACCATGCAGAAGAGAAGTGTGCTAAGAAAATTACCTGAAACTATGAACCTCCTACGGAAAGCATTAAAGTTAACAATCCTTAACTAAAAAAAAGAAAATACCGTTAGACCATCTTTTTCTTTCCTCTTCTAGGTTGATGTCTTCTGTGGTGGTGGTTTTTTCTCCTCTCTTGTGCGTATGCGTATTATTGGGTTGTGTGTGGGTGGATGTCTTCTGTGGTGGTGGTTTTTTCTCCTCTCTTGTGCGTATGCGTATTATTGGGTTGTGTGTGGGTGGATAGGGGGTGGTGGGAATTGTATTGGTACGCAATTTGATAGGAAATTTTGGGGGAACAAAACCCAACACAAACATAGATACGTGCGCAACCACATGCCCCACATCCCAGAAAGAACCTTTTTTTAATGCACATGTTAGCATCTGCCTTACATAGTTAACAAAAAGCACGTGATTGTTACTTCATACACAAAGATACGAGGAGATTCCCCAGAAAGCAGTTGTTTTTTAAGACGTAATTATAAAGGCTTCATAATCATCAACATGAACTGAAACCACATACATCTGTCTGTTAAACCACAGGCACAAACTGCGGATAGCTATCATCATGCCTAAACACAATGGTTATCCTTCCACCTGTGCCCAGCTTAAGCTTAAAAAGACGCATTCAATTGAAATTTTAAAATGCATAAACAAGATATAAAACATGCCTTAATTCCAGTATTCGTAGCTTCACGTGAAGCCTCCAGCAATGGGTCAAACATGGGATTGAATGCCACTGTAAATGCACAATCAATTATATGCCCTGAAAAAAAAAGCCATGATGTTCAGGGATGATATTTATATAGACAGCTTTTCATTTATAATGGCAAAATCAACTTATGCTAATTATCATTATATGTGTTTGTGTCAGAAAGCAATCACATGGTGATGCAAAAGACTGGTAGGAGAAGAATATAGAAGAATGTAGATAGTACCATCAACTTGTGTTCCAAAATCTAACTTCATCACATCATCATATTGAAGCACAGTTTTATCACCAGAATTAGGTGTCCAGTGAGCTGCGACCCTAGTAAAAAAAATTTTTTTTGCAGCATAAGGTGTTGATCTAGAACTGATAAATAAGAACTAATGCTTTTAAAAGATATATTACCAGTTTAAAGAGCATCCTGTTGGAAACGCAATGCCAGCATCAAGACCATTCTCTTTTATTAGTTTCCGAACCACATTTTCCAAAGTTTCACACATGTCAATCATTAGCATTCCAGGCTTAATAATACTCCTCATGTATTTCCGAACCTAATCATCAACAAGACCTTTTCAAATGTGATAGAAGCAAACTAGAGAAAATATGAGGCATACAGTGGTCAAAGTTAAATTGCACAGAAACCAAGCGGTCAACTATGAAATATCATGAACAATCTATATTTCTAGGCAGGTGTCTATTAAAAGCATGCAGGAAAGATCAAACCTGTCTGTGAACTTCTGCTGCTCGGCGCACTGAATTGTGGATGGGTTTTTCTAGGCGCTCCAGCTCTCTCTTTTCTTCAGAAGTTAACCTCCATAAGTTACTGGTCAGAAGATTACACCAAACTAAGGAACATTTCACTTAAATCTAAGTTAAACATTCAATTTTTATCTTAATAATAAGATATTAGAAAATTACCAGAAATAATCAGGCAATTACAAAATGCAAATGCATCCTACGAAACAACGAAAGGTCCAAGCAACCCTCACATTTGTTGGGGATGGGGACCCCAATGACAGCAAGGAAAGAGAAACAAAAAATCACTAGAGAAAGAACACCAAGTTTAACGAGGTTCGACAAACTTGCCAACGTCCTCGGGAGCCACACAATAATCTCTTTATTATTCAAAGAAATTACAAAGTTTGCAAAAAGATGATCTCAAACTCCTTGAGATCTCTCAATCAAACATTCACAACTATAGAAAATTGCTACAGCAATTCATGAGAATTTTCTCCAGAAAATTCTCCGCTCAAAAAGCTGCAGGAGCTTCAATACGCATCCGCTAGGCTCTCTGGAGAAATCGCTGAAATTCTCAGTGATTTCTTGTGCTCAGGGTTCCCTATTTATAGGGAAACCCTCAAAAGATAGGCTATCATTTGTCCTTTTACTGCGAGTTCGCCTGCTAGGTCGCCTGGATAGCTTCTTCGCCTGAACACAGCTTCGCCTGCACTTGGAGCTCGCCTGCACTGCAACTCGCTTGCCTGACATGCCAGAGCTCGCCTGAACTTGGAGCTCGCCTGACACTCGAGTTCGCCTGAACTTCTCCCAAGTTCGCCTGAGCTACCAGAGCTCGCCTGATTTCATCACTTAGCGAATTTTCGCTTTGTGTGCTTGTTCTAAGGTTTGGGTGTACACCCCAAACCAACAATCTCCCACTTGGAGATCAAACCGTCATCATCAAGCTCTCTAAACAAGCATCTTTCTTAAAGTGTGGCTCCGCTTCCATCTCCTATGTGTGAAGGCCAACTGAAATTACGCACAACTCCAGTTTCTGAATAGTCACTGCTTTTGTAAAAACTATATGTTGGATTCTTACTATCTATTAGATTCTTACTTCTTTGGATTTTCTCAAGTGTTAACACATCGTCTTCTAATAAAGATCTGATGAAGTGGTAACGAAGCCTAATATGCTTGGTTCTAGAATAAAATGCTGAATTCTTAGCCAAGTGTATCGTACTTTGACTATCACTATGCAAGACATTCTTCTCCTGTTTGAATCCCAGCTCAGTTAACAAAACCTTGAAGTCATATCATCTCTTTACTGGCTTCAGTCACTGCTACATACTCAGCCTCTGTAGTGGGTAGAGTGACAATCTTCTATATCTGTGACATCCAACTAACCGATGTAGTTCCAACAATGAATATATAATCGGTGATGCTTCTTCGGTGATCGACTTCACCTCCAAAGTTTACGTCTACGTTAGTATTTTCAAAGGCACGCGCCTCATGCACCTTACGATGCGAGGCGGTGGCGAAGCGCCCCACATCTGATATGGCAGCACCTTTTACGCCTCACGTACATCCTTACTTTGTGCAGGGTACATGTAGTACATAGCCTCATATAGTTTTATTTGCTAGCATTTCAATCTAGTCTTTATACTTGATATTCCATATCCTAAAAAACAAAATAATCATTTACTTGGATATTAGTCTTGATTTCACATTTGATTTGAAAATTTATGAATCTTGCTAATAATGTTGGGTGTTAGCATTAGAAATTAAGGCATTATATTGTGATTTTGTAGTAAGATATTATTTATCATGGTTTACGTCTACGTTAGTATTTTCAAAGGCACGCGCCTCATGCACCTTACGATGCGAGGCGGTGGCGAAGCGCCCCACATCTGATATGGCAGCACCTTTTACGCCTCACGTACATCCTTACTTTGTGCAGGGTACATGTAGTACATAGCCTCATATAGTTTTATTTGCTAGCATTTCAATCTAGTCTTTATACTTGATATTCCATATCCTAAAAAACAAAATAATCATTTACTTGGATATTAGTCTTGATTTCACATTTGATTTGAAAATTTATGAATCTTGCTAATAATGTTGGGTGTTAGCATTAGAAATTAAGGCATTATATTGTGATTTTGTAGTAAGATATTATTTATCATGATATTTTTCATATAAATTCTAAAAACATGTTCTTTCGCACTTGATTACATATATTGAAAAATTATTGTCGCGGTGTGCACCTCGCATCACTCGGACGCACGCATTACGTTGTGCCTTGCACATGTGCACGTAAATATGCTTTGCGCCCCGCATTGCGCCTCGCGCATTGATAACACTGGTCTACGTAGCTTTGTACTTTTAACTCTCCTTTACCAAAGTACAAACACTTTTTTATGGTGCATCGTAGATACCTCAAAATCAACTTGATTGCTTCCCAATGAGCATTCCCTGGATTTGACATAAACCGGCTGACAACTCCCGCTGCATGGCCAATGTTTGGTCTCTTACAGACCATAACGTACTTCAAACTCCCAATGGTTGAGACGTAAGGAACCTTAGCCATGAAATCTCTCTTCCTCCGTCTGAAGAGACTGATACTTTGATAGGCGAAAATGACTGGCCAAGGATGTGCTGACTGGCTTGGCGTCGCCTATGTTGAATCTCTGAAAACACGATTGATTTACTCTGTCTGAGATAACTGCAAGAATCATTTCTTCTTATCTCTCGTGATTGCATTCCAAAGATCTTCTTAGCTGAACCCAAGTCCTTCATGTCAAACTCCTTTGACAACTGCTACTTCAACCTTCTGATATCATCAATATCTTCACCTGCAACTAACATATCAACATACAATAGTAAGATGATATAACTGGATTTATATCTCTTGAAGTAGCAACAATAGCCGGCGTTGCACTTCTAGAAACCTTCCTTGTGCATGAAGCCGTCGAACTTTCTGTACTACTATCCTGGGGTTTGTTTCAAGCCATACAAACTCTTCTTATGTTTGCATACCATGTTCTTCTTCTCTTCTTTCAGAAAACCTTCTGGCTGGTGCATGTATATCTCCTCGTCCAAATTTGTGAAGAAATACGGTCTTCACGTCCAACTGCTTAAAATGAAGATATTTAATAGCTACAATACTCAGCACTGATCTGATGGTATTAAGCTTCACAACGGGAGCAAAAATATCAGTGTAGTCAACTCCTTCCTTCTGTTGGAATCCTTTGACAACTAGTCAGGCTTTGTATCTCTTAGAACCATCTTGCTCCTCTTTCACCTGGTACACCCATTTGTTGTGAAGTACCTTCTTCCTCATGTGTAACTCAACTAGTTCACATGTCTAGTTGGAGATCAGAGACTTCATCTCTTCTTTAATAGCAAGCTTCCACTTGCTAACATCTCCAATCTGACATGCATCATCATAGCATTCAGGCTCCCCTCCACTTGCTAACATCTCCAATCTGACATGCATCATCATAGCATTCAGACTCCCCTCCATCTGTCAACAGATAATTCATGTATCTCCTGTTAGGCACAGGAGACCGAAAAGACCTTAATATAGGAGCTGGAGTAGGAGACTGTGGTGTCGAACTGCTGCGCACCACTTTGTCCAGCGAGTTCTTCTGGCTGAGGACTTGCTGCAGTTGGTTCCTCTACGGGACTATTTGGGACATCATCTATATCCGCAAATATTGACTCATTCTGCTCTGAGTCATTGTCATCTGTTTTATGCCTTTCCTTATACATCACCTTTTCGTTAAAGATCACATCTCTGCTACGAATCACTTTTTTGTTTTCGTCATCTCTAATGCGGTAGCCAAACTCATCCTCCCTATGCCGATGAAGGTGCATTTCTTAGGTTTGGGATCAAGTTTATTCCTGCCTTGATCACTGATATGCACATAAACTACACAGCCGAAAACTTTTAGATGTGATAGTTTTACCTCTTTTCCGCACCATATCTCCTATGGTATTCTACGCTCTAATGGAACCAATGGACCTCGGTTGATCAAATAAGCTATTGTGTTGACTGTTTCTGTTCAGAACTGCTTCGGTAAACCTGACTATATACGAATACTTCTGGCTCTTTCTGTCAACGTTCGATTCATACGCTCAGCAACACCATTGTGTTGAGACGTGTCGGGCACAGTTCTCTCCATTCTGATCCCGTGCTCGTAGCAAAACTTCTTGAATCCAGTGTCTTCATATTCACCATCATTATCGGTTCTAAGCTTCTTTATCTTCAGACCTGTCTCATTCTCAACCATAGTTTTTCATCTCCTGAAAGCCTCAAAACACTTCAGACTTATGCTTCAAAAAGTAAACACTTCAGACATACTTTCCGAGAGTGATCATCGATGAAAATCACGTAGTGTTTCTCACCAATGGATGAGGACGTTGTTGGTCCCCAAACATCAGAGTGAACAAGCTCTACCCTTTCCTTCTTTGGGGTTCTGTCACTTGTCTAAAAGCTAACACTCTTCTGTTTTCCAAGTATGCAATCTTCATACATGTCTATCTCCACTGATTGTAGACCTGAAAATTTTCCCTTCGAGTGCATGATCTTCATCCCCTTCTCACTCATGTGACCAAGTCTCTGGTGCTACAAATTTGAAGTTTCATTGTCTGTTGCAACTGCGATTGAACAACGTGCACCTGCTGTTATGTAAAGGGTGCCACTTTTTTTTCCTCGAGCAATCGTCATTGCGCCTTTTGAGATTTTCTCATCGTCACCATGAAAGATCGTAGTGTAGCCATCGCTAGCCAGCTGACCTACTGGGATTAAGTTCTTTCTCAGGTCGGGAATATGTCTGACATCCTTCAACTCTCAAACTAACCCGTTTAGCTTAATCCTCACTACACATTTGCTAACAATAGCACACAGTTGATCATCATCAAGATATACATATCCAAGGTTTTCGGGGATATACTTCTCGAAGAATTCTTTCTGAGAAGTAGCATGAAATGATGCTCTAGAGTCTAACACCCAAGATTCCTTGCTCGCTAAAGAGCATATCAATGCATTATCTCCTCATGAGGTGGAAGTAACATTTACCTCTGTCTTTGCCTCCTTGTCCTTCTATGCACACTTGCACTGATTTTTGTAATCGATTTTTTCACAATGCCAACACTCGATAGTCTTCAAGCCATGGGAATTACTGGGATTCCAGAATTTGGACCTCTGGTCCTTTGATCTACCTGGGTAGTTTGATCTGTCGCGTCCATTCCCTCTCATTGAATTTCTTCCTCTTGACTCTGTATACAATACTAAAGAGGTTGATGATTCACCCGACTCTCTTCGTCGGATCTCTTTACTGAGAACCAGATCACGCACATCGTCAAATTTTAACTTATTACTTCCTGACGAGCTACTCACAGCCGTGACAGTAACATTCTAGCTTTCTGCTAGGGAAGAAAAAAGTATCAATGCTCGCACTTCATCAAATTCAATTTTAACTGAACTCAACTGGGTCGTGACTATGTTGAGTTCATTGAGATGCTGAGCTTTCATTCGCAATTAAACAAACACCTCATCAAGTGAACTTTGTTTGAGGCTGATGTCTTATCATGCATACTAGAGAGAGCTGTCATAAGACCCGTCGTGGTCTTTTCCTTTGCAATGTTTAAGACAATATTACTGGTTAGCGCCAATCGAATAACCCTGAGGGCTTATCTGTCTAGAAGATTCCAATCTTCTTCTTTTATACCCTCCGACTTCTTTCCTGAGAGAAGTTGATACAGATTATTTTGGTACAGATAATACTCTATCTGCATTTTTCAAAACTCAAAATCTGTACCATCAAACTTCTCTAGTCTCACCATTCCTTCATCTGCTATCATTGCTCCCACTCGAATCTGACTTAGAATTGTTTCTGTACTCTGATACCAATTGTTGGGGATGTGGACCCCAATGGCAGCAAGGAAAGAGAAACAAAAAATCAATAGAGAAAAAACACCAAGTTTAACGAGGTTCGGCAAATTTACTAACGTCATCGGGAGCCACACAATAATCTCTTTATTATTCAAAGAAATTACAAAGCTTGCAAAGAGATGCACTCAAACTCCTTGAGATCTCTCAATCAAACATTCATAGCTGTAGAAAATCACAATAGTAATCCGTGAGAATTTTCTCCTCAAAATTTTCCGCTCAAAAAGCTACAGGAGCTTCCAAAGGCCGCCGCCAGGCTCTCTTGGGAAATTGCTAAAATTCTCACGATTTCTTGTGCTCAGGGTTCCCTATTTATAGGGAAACCCTAGGGCAAAAGACATGCTATCACTTGTTTTTTTCTGCGAGTTCGCCTGTCTGCGAGCTCGCCTGGATAGCTTCTTCGCCTGAACACAGCTTCGCCTGCACCTGGAGCTCGCCTGCACTGCAGCTTGAGCTCGCCTGTAGTGTAGCTCGCTTGCCTGCTCCTGACATGCCAGAGCTCGCCAGACACTCGAGTTCGCCTGAACTTCTCCCGAGTTCGCTTGAGCTACCAGAGCTCACCTGATTTCATCACTTAGCGAATTTTCGCTTTGTGTGCTTGTTCTAAGGTTTGGGTCTACACTTCAAAACCAACACCATTTGTTCATATGCTGTTGCTCATCTCAAGTAAAGAGTCATTACAACAAAGCTGCTTCTAAAATTTTAGTACAGTAATTTCATATCCTTCTTACAATGAAGGCTAATGCAATAGCTATAGAGGAGGGCAGACAAGAAAGTTGCAGCCTAAGTACCTATTATCCACGGTTTGAGTGACATGAGCACATATACGAGCTTCAGACATGGAACTAAATAAAAATAAAAAAAGGTTCCAAGAAAGGTTATGTTCTAGGTTGTTTGTATTTGTGCAGGCCCACAAGCATGAGTACACAAATCAAAATCAGCAGCATAAAAAGCTAGCAATTATGTTCTCTGCAAAGTGCTCATGTCTATGAACGCGTGTGCATAAAAGTGCAAAGGGCAAATGGACTCGCATGCTACTAGGAATATCCAAAAAGAGCATGTAGTTTGACCTAAGTGCAGAGTTTACATGTGCTCAGCTTTATCAAATCATTACTCGTTCATAGACAAGTAATGATAAAAAGGAAACTTATTACTTACTCATCCTTGTATTCTTGAACTTCACCTTCTGGGAAGTCACCAGAAGGAAATAGCTCGTCGACTGGAATTGATGGTGGATTAGTCTGGGTAGCTGATGGCCTCAGACTTGGAGAATCAGTCCGTCCAATAGGTTCCTTCTTTTTCCTATGAGCAAAATCATCATAGTTGCATGATAAGAAACTCTAAACCTGGAATACAATAACAAAATTTGAACTTTCTAAAATAAGGCACCTACTTTGTTCGTTTCTTTTTCTTCTTTTTTGCAGCTTCTGGTACAAAGATCAAAATCAAGTATTAAAGATATACATAAGAAATTAAAATCTCATGCTGCAACAAGAACGATATACAACGACAAAAATAACAAAGGTTTTATCCCAAATTTTCCAGGTTGGAAACATGATTCTTGTTTTTCAGTGTTTACTTAGGATATCTCCCCCGTTAAGTTAATCATTATCATACTCTTCTAAATTGTTTTCAATCAAGTTCTCTCATGTCTATCTCCAGTTGCTCCATTTAGATAAAGTTAATATTTATCCTAATTGGTACATCATATACGAAGATCCGCCAAGATCTTGTGCTAGCTGTTGGCTATCTAACACAACCTCTTCTTTTATCGTGGCAAACATTGAACCACAACAGTTGCGGAGTTATTTAAGAACAATATAAACAATATAATACTCTAGAAAAATCAAGTTCACAAGTAACTAATAGTTTATAGAAAAAGAGAAATAAGTCATACAGCTCCTAAAAGATATCCTGAAGCACATCATATCCTCTTTCTGCAAACTGCAATTGATCAGTTGATGTAATAGGTTAGGCAATTAATTGAGTCCAGGGAAATCATTGTCACCCTGTATTTAGTATCATAAATATGAAGCAAATATGTTGAATCCTATTTAAGTTTTACCAACTGAATTCATTACTGTTAAATTTCACCAAAACCAATACTTTGTGAAATTTTAGCTTAGAAACACATTTGATAAACAGCTGATAATGTTGGCATTCAGAGAAAGCTTGTACTTTCATAAATTTGATTTTGACTTCAATACCTCTTTAACCAGAGTCTATGATGGCCGCTTAAGACACATCCAATGGATCGCAAAAGTGTTAATAATCAAGAAAACTAATTAATTAAATGATAACATCAATTGCACAATAAAAAAATGTTAAACAATAATATTAGTAATATTAATTAAACACTTCTAAGCTTCAATAATTCTTTTTAGGTGTCCTTGAACCAACACTGGAATGGCTAAGATGCTGTTTCCATTCCGTTTCCTTCTAAATCAAAGGTCATAATTGATTAATTTATAATGAAGAAGATGAAGTAACACATATAGCTGGTCTCTGAGGACTTCCCCCCTTCAAGCTTTTTATATGATTTCCATAAGCTCTGCATATTTTTGTTTGTTGTCGCTGAATGTAAAATACGCACCGGGTAGGAGTCTTAACTTGTAGGCATTAGTATATATATTTAATTAACAAAATTGAAAATTCTTCTATAGATATCTTTCAAGAAAGCAAAAAATGATAACTTAAAAAGTATGTTCAACACATTTCTATTTGACAATACATCTTTCAAGAAAGCAAATAATGACCGTAACTATAAAAGAGCATGTTCAACGCATTTCTATTTAACAACAGACCTTTCACTCAATGCTATCTGCAACAAAATAATTTTTATGTGAAATTATAACATACAAGGCATCCAACATCTAACCTGGTAATCCATCTGGACCAGCAACTTGTGTCTCTTCTTCATCATCTTGCAAAGGGGACTGAGATTTGCAAACTTGACCATTGTTATCCTGAAATATTACATATTTAGCTCATTAACTAGAAATACATCTGCATATTGACCCATGCCAACCCCACTTCACAAAAAGATATGTTGTGAATCAAATATATTAATGTTGTGTATAAGAAGTATGTTGTGCTATATCAAAAGATCATTGACTAACAATACCTGTTAAAATTGCAGATTAAGAAACAATGACAAATGACCAAATCACTTTAAAGTATTCATAAACTCTCAACTTCCCCTTTAAAGTATCAATTTGCCTATTTTTCCCTTAAACTATGTGTATGTCCCAATGTGGTCATTTTTCCATGGCCAAACATTTAACAGATGTGTTTTTTGCTATTCTTTTTTCCCCTAACCTAGCCTGAAAGCGAACACGAGATGGTGGGAACCATATTGAAACCTCCCAACCATCCGGGTCAACCGTAATGGGTGCACTTCTTGTATTTCTGCAATTCAAGTAAAAATGATTTTCCATATTCTAAAAAAAGGAATAAAGGGCAAAATTTTATGAAGGAAAGTAGTTGAAAAATTATTTTGGGTTGGCAAAAACAAGTCAAATTGATGAGAACTCATGAATTAATGCATAAAAAATTGTCATGTCATTGATCACATTGATCACATACACGTAGTTTAAGGGCAGGAATAGACAAATTGTTACTTCAAAGGGGAAGTTACCAATACTTTAAGGATAAATGGTTATTTTGTCCTAAAAACAGTTCAAATGTAAGGTAGTCGTCCAAGTAGTAGAAAGACAGTTGAAGCAGCTGAGAATACCATTAGCTTGGAAGTAGGGATGTTAACGGAGCGGATACGGCTCGGATATGGCACTTACCATATCCATATCCGCTTACCCATCTCGGATACGGATACGAATACGGATATATGTCGGTAAGAAAAATACATATCCATATCCGCCAAAATCGGATACGATTACGGATATAGATGCGGATATATAAACGGATATGCATGCGGATACAAAAAAGATATGAGAAAACTAGATAGTATTCAGAAAAATATAGTCATATGATACAAAAGAGTTCGTTAATATGTTCATTATGATTGAAAAGCTAAAATTAGACATCTTGATCATCAAAATTAACCACAAATTCATAATCTAAGAATCGAAGCTATCGTAAGAGTATGACCAATATGTATTCGGATATTTTCGGATACGGATACGGATATTTCACTACAAAACCATATCCGTTACCATATCCTATCGGTTATAGATTTGAGTAACCATATTCGTATCCTAACGGATACGGTTACGGATATTTCCTCGGATACGGATACGGTTTGGCACCCCTACTTGGAAGTCTGTAATTGAATGAGAAAAATACAACTGTTCAGGAGAAGAGCTTAGGCAAAAGATAAAATACAATTGTCTGGGTTTAGAATTCACATGTTTCTTAAATTGTGGTTCCAAGTTCTATATTACCAAATAGTATATACAACTACAAAAGGCTTTGGTTAGGTTGTCATAAGTCTAAGGTCTTAGGTACAAATTTTGCAATTCAAGTAAAAATAATTTTCCATATTCTGAAAAATATAAAAAGGGCAAAATTTTTTATGGAGGAAAGTAGTTGAAAAATTATTTTGGGTTGTCAAAAAGGAGTGAGTCAAATTGATAAGAACTCATGAATAAATGCAAAAAAAAAAACATTGTCATGTCATTGATCAGTTAAGTACTTGACTGTCACTCACAAAATGAACACATTGATCACATACACATAGTTTAAAGGGAGCAATAGACAAATTGATACTTCAAGGGGGAAGTTGAGAGTTCACCAATACTTCAAGGATGACTGGTTATTTTGTCCTAAAAACAGTTCAAATGTAAGGTAGTTGTCCAAGTAGCAGAAAGACAATTGAAGCGACCGAGAATATCATTTAGCTTGTAAGTCTGTAATTGAATGCGAAAAATACAACTGTTCAGGAGAAGAGGTTAGGCAAAAGATAAAATACAATCGTTTCGGTTTAGAATTGACATGTTTCTTAAACTGTGGTTCTAGGTTCTATATTACTAAATAGCACATACAACGATGCTCCAAAAGGTAACACACAAAGAAACAGTAGAGGTGATATTTATGATCCTCACATCAGATGTTAAACACGGTATGTTCTCTCACAGTTCCTCCATGTGTATCAATATTAATTCAAATCCCTATATCAATTGTCCTTCAGCCATCGTGACCTATTCGAAATCATGGATCAACAGTACTCCCTTAAAGAGTAACTAAAGAGTAACACATCTATCACACCTTCAAACTCTAGACACTTAAGGCCATCTTAAGATCTCTCAAGGACTCCATACATGCTACAATTTCATCATATTCATCTCAATAATAAATATTTCGATCCACCCATGTATGAAAATGGTTGCTATGAGAACATTTTACTTGGGCGTTTCCACTAACTTCTCCCAAAAGTTAAGGATCAACAATCCCGTAATCTTTTCTCATTCTTTAAAGGTTGCATATAAATTGATCTCTCAGGACAACAGGTTGGAACACGTCTTAACTTATTTTGAGATTTAATTGTCAATCAATTGAATAACCAAGTGGGTTATCAGATTAGTTTAGCCACATATAGAATAAATAGAAAGATTGTCACAGTGGCTAACAAGATTAAAACCAAAGCGCTAAATACAGAATTCCGCTTTCGGATTACATGGGTTGTAAGATAGTTAACGCTCCGACTTTAGCAAGGCGATCATCATAATATTTAATTTAAGGAGAGAAAAAACATAACCCTCCCTTTCCATCAAAAGCACAAAATTTACAACTTGTTTCAGTTGGGAAAAAGATACTCTTGAAAGGTCCTATAATTTACGGCATTTGATAAGAGTATGATTCTTGTTTTCTCTTGTACATGACGATAATGCAATTCCTACTCAATATGAAACCACTTCATTGAGGGAAGTAGCTTTCGGAAAATGTATAAGGAAAACCCAACTAGGTTACCTCAACTACAGCATTCAAAAAGAATTTATTTTATTTTGCATTTTCTTTTTCTTTTTGTTAACGAAGATTACAGCCTGGTTTTGGACATAGAACCTCCATAATACAACTCTCTGAGTCTGCTCTACCTTAGAATGACTAGAAAGAAGTGAACTTAATTTTTACAAATGAAATTAGCTCATGTTTTTTATCTCAAAGAAGAAACAAAAAGGAACTTAAAAACCAATTCTTTTTCGTGCTACGGATTGCTCTTTTCTTTGTAATTTCTTACCTATTTACAAGTGTGGTGAGTACAAAACAAAAAGAAAGGGATTCAGCAACTCACCTTAAAATTTTCTTCCTGGTTATTTCGTTTATTTGTTAATTGTTAGTAGAATCACATGATATTTAATTTGACTTCATTTGTCACTATGTTAAGCCAATTAAACTTTTCAAGTAAGGGGCTGTTTGGTTCGTTTCCTTGATATAGAGAAATGCAATTCCATGTAAAGAAACACAAGTTTTGAGTTTACCAAACTTTTCCAAGAAATAGATTGTTTTGCTTTGGTTCGCACATAAAAAATGGTGGGAAACCAATGTATTTATTTTTCTTGTGTTTGGTTCGCATAGAAAAAAAAGAAAAACTTTTGTAAACAAAGCAGAGAAGGAAAAAAATCTGACGTGGTAGAGTTTTCATCAATTTCACTTGGTTGGGGAAGGAAATCGGAGAGGGAAAAAAATCTTAGTTGGCGGCGATTTCAGCAGAGTTTTCCCTCTTCCATCCGAGCGAACCAAAGCGGCACAAAGAAATGGACGGAAACAAAAAAACTGACGTGGAGGGCTAAAAATCTGACGTGGAGGGGTTTTCTGAGTTTTCCACCCCTTATAATAGCGAACCAAACAGCCCCTAAGCTCAAAGCGAATCGACAAAACAAACAGGAGACAACTGGTTATGCTTTGATATGCAAAAGACAAACTTTGTGATTCCCAAAGTAGGGCAACTGTCCCATCTTCAACAGACGATGCTCTTTGTATCCTCCATAACAATGTTTTAGAAAATGCTCTTTTCAGTAAGCATCGTGTCTTTTTAATCACTGTTGCATGGTTACATATGTCTTCAACCATGAACACCAGTAGCTAGCTCTTGTGACATTCCAGAAAACATTCTGTTTGCTTACTCCTATCCCAGTTTTCTTGGATGTCCAAGCTTCTTCAGTCAACTAGTTCGTCTAAACTAAAGAACGTTATTTCCTGAAGTCATTTGCTTCCAACTCTTTTAAGTTTATTTTTAAAAATTCTATTTTTTTGTTGACCCGCTAGCTAAAGTAACAAACCACTGGCACGTGGAAAATAACCAAATAACTTATAACTAATTTATAATAAAAACTGCAGACACCAAGGCCTAAAAACACAATGTCGAGATGAGATAAAGTGTCAATGTTAAGCCTCCTAGAGTAATCTAAGGAAAAAACAATCTATGCAAAATATTTAACAACATGAACCTGTATTAAAACACTAACCTGAATTTCTTGTTCTCCAATGTGCATTTCCTTTAAATTGGAAACCGCCTCCTCAACTACTTCAGATTCACTTCCAACCATATTTTCTTTCTCCTTAACAATCCAACTGCGTCCTGCTTATGACCTTTAAAAAAAGCAGATATTATAACTATTACCGTTGATGTTGCAGCTAATGTGTTATCAATAACGTGCTGTCAGGCCACATTCTGACAGCATAACTTCAAAAAAAGACTAAAAATTAAAGCCTAAAAGAGTGTGTATCAATATTATAGAAGGCGCTAGGCGAACTAGGCGTTTGAGACAGCGCCTACCAACTAGATGCCTAGGCGTTTGGCTATTTTCTATATTTTTTAATTACGATAATTGATAAAAATATGTATTAAATTCATATAAATTTGTAACAAAAAAGATAGCAATCTTAGATCCACAATAAACCATGCATACTTAAATACTAAATTGATAGTAAATGTTAATGTTATAGAAATATTAGGTAATGAACTGATGTCTAGGTAAATTTCTTTCTTTATTTTAGTGGTGGTCGGTGAGGTTTTGCTAGAAGTCAAAGAAGATAATAAAGATGTTCACATTTGGAGGTAAAAAGAGTTTGAAGAAGGTTGGAGGACGTGAAGGTTGCAACATAACAAATCACAATCAATGCCTAAAGGGTGCAGTCCAGCAGATATCGCTTCTGTAAACACTCCCAAAACCAAGGTGGGCAACATAAGTAACGCACTTAGGCCTAGACGGACATCTAGGCGGGCTAGACAGAGGCTTTTTAAAATAGTAATACACACATGAGAGCACACAAAAAATACTAAAAAAAGAAGGGAAAAAACTACCAAGCAAGCAACCATTCATGTAAACTAGAAGTAATCTTCTAATATGAAATCCACACACTAAACTGGAGCTCCAAGTAACTTCCAATGTTTGCTTGCATCAGAAGGAATTATTTTAACTATCTAGCTTAATTCTTTAAAGTCATTTCATTTCATAGACAACAATAAAAAATTCTTTCAAATTTTTTCTATTTGTATGAATACGAACAACTCAAAAGAGGAGTATACAAACAATAACGGAATTTACGCAAAGATAATAACTTTTTATCTATGAATTCAAACAACTCAAAAGAATGATTTTAACCATAAAAAAATTCAAATACAGTAGAGCTCATGAATTAAGGTTTGAAATAGAGAAAATCATCACTAGGAATTGGAATAAAACCTAATCAAGGAGAAGGATCAAGTTACATGCGGATGATTGAGACGCAACTCATCTCTGATTAGGATTTTCAAGGAGAGAAAACTGAGAACTTTATTATGACAATAAAATATGAACTCCAAGTCGATTAGGTATTTAACTATTAAGCGTTAAATATTAACTAGTCGGCTTAACTCGGTCCGATTTGATGTTGGGCTGGAATTACCAAGGTCCAATTGATGCCTCTTGTATTAATACAAGAAAAATTTCACAAAACCCCCAAACTGTCCCCGACGAACTTTTAGAAATGTGACTTAATTTTGAAAGCTTTCTTCACGCAAACTTTTAAGGCGTCCACAAAATCCAAAATGTTTCAAGCTTTTTTTCACGCAAACTTCACAATCCCCCCATTTTTTCTCCTCATCGTACTTCCTAGCTTTCAAATTTATTGTTGGAAAACCCCTCATACTTTCAACGTTCCTGAAAAAAGAAACCTAAGCTTTTAACATTATTACCAGAGCCTTGATGGAGGTTGATAAAGTTTCAGAAAACTCTCTACGTACTCTGCTAAGAGGATGTGTTAAGAGACAATTTTCTAACATCATGGGTTTTATCTAAAAATAAGCTAAACTTTTAGAGGCTTTTATGAAATCCACCCTTAATATAATAATAAAGAATTGGCTCTAATGAGAATCAGACTAGATGTTTCTTTACTATCGGCAACTTGCTTAGTGAATATAAACCATCGATCGTTATTTATCGGCGCATATAAAAAGAAAATAATATGTATGGTGAGCTAGCTCATTTTAGAATGAGATGAGACTTTTCTATTAGTCACATAAAAAGAGTGAATCTCCATATTCTTCTCCTCCTCCTTTTCTTTTTTTTTAGCATAAAAACAATGGAACATCCGTGTTCATTTCATGGATTGGTAATAAAAGGACATGAGAAAGAGTAATACAAAAGTATAAATAGAAACATATCATTTCTCCTTTGTTTATACGTAGGGAGAAATAATGTTGTGGACGCGTTAAAAGCTTGAAACATTTTGGATTTTGTGGACGCCTTAAAAGCTTTCAGAATTAATCCACATTTCTAAAAGTTCGTCGGGGACAGTTTGGGGGTTTTGTGAAACTTTCCTTGTATTAACACAAGAGACATCAACTAGACCTTAGCTGGTAATTCCAGCCCAACATCAAACCGGGCCGAGTTAGACCGACTAGTTAAATATTTAACGCTCAACAGTTAAATACCCAATCGACTCGTTCTTCATATTCTATCATCATAATAAAGTTCTCAATTCTCTCCTCGAAAACCCTAATCAGAGACGAGCTGCGCCTCAATCATCCGCGGGTAACTCGATCCTTCTCCTTGATTAGGTTTTAATCCGATTCCTAGTGATGCTTTTCTCTAGGTCAAACCCTAATTCCTTAATGTTCCCTTGTTTTTACGCTAAAAAAAGAAAAGGAGGATATTCTAAAATGAGCTAGCTCACCATACAAATTATTTCCTTTTTATATGTGCCGATAAATAACAATCGATGGTTTATATTCACTAAACAAGTTGCGATAGAAAAGAAACATCTAGTCTGATTCCTATTGGAACCAATTCTTCATATTGTATTATGGGCGGATTTCATAAAAGCCTCTAAAAGTTTAGCTTATTTTGAAATAAATCCCATGATGTTAGGAAATTGTCTCAACATATCCTCTTAGCAGAATACAGATAGTTTTCTGAAACTTTATCAGCCTCCATCAGGGCTCTGATAATAATGTTAGAAGCTTAGGTTTCTTTTTTCAGGAACGTTGAACGTATGAGGGGTTTTCCAACAATAAATTTGAAAGCAAGGGGTAAGATGAGGAGAAAAAAATGGGGGGATTGTGAAGTTTGCGTGAAAAAAGCTTGAAACATTTTGGATTTTGTGGGCGATTTAAACGCTATCAGAATTAAGCCACATTTCTAAATGTTCATCGGGGACGGTTTGGGGGTTTTGTGAAATTTTCCTGGTAATAAATTGTTTTAAATATCCCCGACATGGACCAATATATCCGTCGATATATCCTTTTACAGAGCTTGCCGCAACTGATATGGTCTTTAAATATCATTTACCGCTTTTTAGCTATTTTGAGTGATAAATCCCCGATATGACCGATATATTAGCCGATATGTGGACCAATATATCTTTTTATATAGCTTGTTGCAAAATAATATATCGTGTTCGGAATTTTTGGGCAAGATATCAAGATTTTTCAATTATATCAAATGATATTTTGCCCTAAAAAAAGCAGATCGAATGTTGCAACGTTGCTTTGCACTTTTGTTTGTTTTAGAAGGTTGATTAGTGATCCTAAACATATATTATTCATATTTTGTATGCTTAAATTTTCATTACGTATGTTAAGATTACATTTTAATGCATTATACTATGTATGCAAACATTCATTATGGCATTCTGATATTTACCACATATCCCCGATATTTCCTTGATATCCGCAATCCGATATGAATTTTGGCCATTCGATATTTCACCGATATCCGAAATTTAAAACCTTACCAAGAGATATCAACTGGGCCTTAGTTGGTAATTCCAGCACAACATCAAATCGGGCCGAGTTAGGCCGACTAGTTAGTATTTAATGCTCAACAGTTAAATACCCAGTCGACTTGGTCTTCATATTCTATCGCCATAATAAAGTTATCAGTTTTCTCTCCCCGAAAACCCTAATTAAAGACGAGTTGCGCTTCAATCATCCGCGGGTAACTTAATCCTTCTCCTTGATTAAGTTTTAATCCAATTCCTAGTAATGCATTTCTCTATTTCAAACCCTAATTCATGAGCTCTTTTGTATTTGAATTTTTTTATGGTTAAAATCCTTCTTTTGAGTTGTTTGAATTCATAGATAAAAAGTTATCTTTGCGTAAATTCTGTTATTGTCTATATTCTCCTCTTTGAGTTGTTCGTATTCATACATCATACAAATATAAAAAATTTGAAAGAATTTTTTATTATCTATGAAATGAAAGGACTTTAAAGATTTAACCCAAATAGTTAAAATAATTCCTTCTGAAACAAGCAAACATTGGAAGTTACTTGGAGCTCCAATTTAGTGTGAATTTCATATTAGAAGATTACTTTCTGTTTACATGAATGGTTGCTTGCTTGGTAGTTTTTTTCCTTCTTTTTTAGTATTTTTTGTGTGCTCCCATGTGTGTGTATTACTATTTTAAAAATGCTCTGTCTAGTCTGCCTAGCTGTACGTCTAGGCCTAAGGCCGGTACCTATATTACCCACCTTGGTTTTGAGAGTGTTTAGAGGAGCGTTATCTACTGGACTGCACCCTTTAGGCGTTGATTGTGATTTTTTTGTGTTGCAACATCTACGTCCTCCAACCTTCTTCAAACTCTTTTAACCTCCAAATGTGAATACATTTACTATCTCCTTCGACTTCCAGCAAAACCTCTCCGACCACCACTTAAATAAAAAAAAATTTACCTAGACATCAGTTCATCACCTAAGCTTTCTATAATATTGACATTTACTATCACTTATTATAATAAAAAACCTTCTAGGCTCTAGGCGTCGGGTCCAACGCCTTGCCCTCCTAACGCTTTCTATAACTTTGTTAGTTATTATTTTTACTATTTTATCTTTTGCCTAACCTCTTCTCCTGAAGAGTAGTATTTTTCGCATTCAATTACAGACTTCCAAACCAATGGTATTCTCAGCTGCTTCAATTGTCTTTCTGCTACTTAGACAACTACCTTACATTTGAACTATTTTTAGGACAAAATAACCATTCATCCTTAAAGTATTGGTGAACTCTCAACTTCCCCCTTGAAGTATTTATTTGTCTATTCCTCCCCTTAAACTGTGTATGTGATCAATATGGTCATTTTGTCAGTGACAGTCAAGTACTTAACAGATCAATGACATGACAATGTTATTTTGCATTTATTCATGAGTTCTTATCAATTTGACTCATTTTTGCTAACCCAATAATTTTTCAACTACTTTCCTCCATAAAATTGTCTTTTATTCCTCTTTTTTCAGAATATGGAAAATCATGTTTACTTGAATTACAAAAATACAAGAAATGCACCCATCACGGGTGACCCGGATGGTTGGGAGGTTTCAATATGGTTCCCACCATCTCGTGTTCGCTTTCGGGCTAGGTTAGGAAAAAAAGGATAGCAAACAACACATTTGCTAAATATTTGGCCATGGGCTAAGAAAATGACCACATTGTGACATACACGTAGTTTAAGGGGAAAATAGGCAAACTAATACTTTAAGTGGGAAGTTGAGAGTTTATGAATACTTTGAAGGGATTTGGTCATTGTTTTTTAATCTGCAATTTTAACAGGTACTGTTAGTAAATGATCTTTTGATAGCACAACATACTTCTTATACACAACATTAATATATTTGATTCACAACATATCTTTTTGTGAAGTGGGGTCGGCATAGGTCAATATGCAGAATGTATTTCTAGTTAATGAGCTAAATATGTAATATTTCAGGATAACAATGGTCAAGCTTGCAAACCTCAGTCCCATTTACAAGATGACCAAGAAGAGACACAAGTTGATGGCCAAGATGGGTTACCAGGTTAGATGTTGGATGCCTTGTATGTTATAATTTCACATATAACTTCTTTTGTTACATATAGGATTGAGTGAAAGGTCTGTTGTCAAATAGAAATGTGTTGAACATGCTCTTTTATAGTTACGATCGTTATTTGCTTTCTTGAAAGGTCTATTGTCAAATAGAAATGTGTTGAACATACTTTTTAAGTTATCATTTTTTGCTTTCTTGAAAGATATCTATACAAGAATTTTCAATTTTGTTAATTAAATATATATACTAATGCCTATAAGTTAAGACTCCTACCCAGTGCGTATTTTACATACAAGGCATCCAACATCTAACCAGGTAATCCATTTGGGCCATCAACTTGTCTCTTCTTTGTCATCTTGCAAAGGGGACTGAGGTTTGCAAGCTTGACCATTATTATCCTAAAATATTACATTTTTAGCTCATTAACTAGAAATACATTTTGCATATTGACACATGCCAACCCCACTTCACAAAAAGATATGTTGTGAATCAAATATATTAATGTTGTATATAAGAAGTATATTGTGCTATGTCAAAAGATCATTTACTAACAGTGCCTGTTAAAATTGCAGATTAAAAAACAATGACAAATGACCAAATTCCTTTAAAATATTCATAAACTCTCAACTTCCCCCTTAAGTATTAATTTTCCTATTTTCCCCTTAAACTACGTGTATGTTCAAATGTGGTCATTTTCTTAGCCCATGGTAAAATATATAGCAGATGTGTTTTTTGCTATTCTTTTTTAGCCTAACCTAGCCTGAAAGCAAACATGAGATGGTGGGAACCATATTGAAACCTCCCAACCATTTGGGTCACCCGTGATGGGTGCATTTCTTGTATTTCTGCAATTCAAGTAAAAATGATTTTCCATATTCTGAAAAAAAAAAGGAATAAGGGGCAAAATTTTATGGAGGAAAGTAGTTGAAAATTTATTTTGGGTTGGCAAAAACGAGTCAAATTGATAAGAACTCGTGAATAAATGCAATAAAATATTATCATGTTATTGATCTGTTAAGTACTTGACTGTCACGCACAATATGACCACATTGATCACATAGACATAGTTTAAGGGGAGGAATAGACAAATTGATACTTCAAGGGGGAAGTTGAGAGTTAACCAATACTTTTAAGGATGAATGGTTATTTTGTCCTAAAAACAGTTCAAATGTAAGGTAGTTGTCCACGTAGCAGAAAGACAATTGAAGCAGCTGAGAATACCATTAGCTTGGAAGTCTGTAATTGAATGTGAAAAATACAACTGTTCAGGAGAAGAGGTTAAGCAAAAGATAAAATACAATCGTCTGGGTTTAGAATTCACAAGTTTCTTAAATTGTGGTTCCAGGTTCTATATTACCAAATAGTTACATACAACTACAAAAGACTTACGTTACGTTGTCATAAGTCCAAGGTCTTAGGTACAAATTTCGGACAAAAACTTTTCTTTTCAGCATTAAAAAAGAAAAAAGACAATGCTCCAAAAGGTAACACGCAAAGAAACAATAGAGGTGATATTTATGATCCTCATATCAGATGTTAAACATGATATGTTCTCTCATAGTTCCTCCATGTGTATCAGTCTTAATTCAAATCCCTATATCAATTGTCCTTCAGCCATTGTGACCTATTCGAAATCATGGATCAACAGTACTCCCTTAAAGAGTAACTAAAGAGTAACACATCTATCACACCTTCAAACTCTAGACACTTAAGGCCATCTTAAGATCTCTCAAGGACTCCATATATGTTACAATTTCATCATATTCCTCTCAATAATAGATATTTCGATCCACCCATGTATGAAAATGGTTGCTATGAGAACATTTTATTTGGGCATCTCCACTAACTTCTCCCGAAAGTTAAGGATCAACAATCCCTTTATCTTTTCTTATTCTTTAAAGGTTGCATATAATTGATCTCTAAGGACAACAGGTTGAAACATGTCTTAACTTATTTTGAGATTTAATTGTCAATCAATTGAATAACAAAGTGGGTTATCGGATTAATTTAGCCCCATGTAGAATAAATAGAAAGATTGTCATAGTGGCTAACAAGATTAAAACCAAAGCGCTAAATACAGAATTCTGCTTTTGGATTACATGGGTTGTAAGATAGTTAACGCTCCGACTTCAGCATAGCGATCATCATAATATTTAATTTAAGGAGAGAAAAAACATAACCCTCCTTTTCCATCAAAAGCACAAAATTGACAACTTGTTTCGGTTGGGAAAAAAATACTCTTGAAAGGTCCTATAATTTGCGGTATTTGATAAGAGTATGGCTCTTGTTTTCTCTTGTACATGACGAGAATGCAATTCCTGCTCAATATGAAACCACTTCATTGAGGGAAGTAGCTTTCTGAAATGTATAAGGAAACCCAACTAGGTTACCTCAGCTACACCATTTTACCGAACAGAACAGTAGGCTCAAACTTTTCTTAAGTATAAATTGTGGTAATTAAGTAATCTCTACATAAAAAACCCAGGTTTATGCCAGAGTTTTTTTTCTTTTTTTTGCTTTTGCATTCAAAAAGAATTTATTTTATTAAGCACTTTCTTTTTCTTTTGTTAACGAAGATTGCAGCCTGGTTTTGGACATAGAACCTCCATAATACAACTCTCTGAGTCTGCTCTACCATATAATGACTAGAAAGAAGTGAGCCTAATTTTTACAAATGAAGTTAGCTCATGTTATTGATCTCAAAGAATAAACAAAAAGGAACTTAAAGACCAATTCTTTTTCGTGCTACGGATTGCTCTTTTCTTTTTAATTTCTTACCTATTTACAAGTGTGGTGATTACAAAACAAAGAGAAAGGAGCAACTCACCTTATATTTTTCTTCCTGGTTATTTCTCTTATTTGTCAGTAGAATCACATAATATTTAACTTGACTTCATTTGTCACTATGTTAAGCCAATTAAAATTTTCAAGTCAGCTCAAAGCGAATCGACAAAACAAACAGAAGACAGCTGGTTATGCTCGATATGCAAAAGAATGTGAGGCACGATACATATTTAACTTCGAACTTGATAAAGACAAACTTTGTGATTCGCAAAGTAGGACAACTGTCCCATCTTCAACACACGATGCTCTTTTTATCCTTCATAACAAATAGCATCATAGAATCATCCATCCTCTACTTGTTTTAGGAAATGCTCTTTCAGTAAGCATAATGTCTTTTTAATCACTGATGCATGGTTACATATGTCTTCAACCATTCAACCATGAACACCGGTAGCTAGCTCATGTGACATTCCAGATAACCTTCTGTTTCCTTACTCCTATCCCAGTCTTCTTGGATGTTCAAGATTCTTCAGTCAACTATTTCGTCTCAACTAAAAAACGTTATTTTCTGAAGTCATTTGCTTCCAACTCTTTAAGTTCATTTTAAAAATTCAAATTTCTTGATGACCCGCTAGCTAAAGTAACAACTAAATGAAACCACTGGCACGTGGAAAATAACCAAATAACTTATAACCGATTTATAATAAAAACTACAGAGACCAAGGCCTAAAAATACAATGCTGAGATAAGATCAGGTGTCAATGTTAAGCCTCCTAAAGTAATTTAAGGAAAAAACAATCTATGCAAAATATTTAACATGAACTTGTATCAAAATACTAACCTGAATTTCTTGTTCTCCAATATGCAATTCCTTTAAATTGGAAACCACCTCCTCAACTACTTCAGATTCACTTCCAACCATATTTTCTTTCTCCTTAACAATCCAACTGTGTTCTGCTTAGGACATTAAAAAAATAGATATTATAATTATTACGATTGATGTTGCAACCAGTGTGTGTATCAATAACGTGTTGTTAGGCCACATTCTGACAGCATGGCTTCAAAAAAATGACTAAATATTAAAGCCCAAAAGAGTGTATCAATGTTACAGAAGGCACTAGGCGAACTGAGCGTTTGAGACAGTGCCTAGCGACTAGACGCCGAGGCGCTTGGCTATTTTCTACATTTTTTAATTACAATAATTGATAAAAATATGTATTAAATTCATATAAATTTGTAACAAAAAAAGATAGCAATCTTAGATCCACAATAAACCATGCATACTTAAATACTAAATAGCAAAAATAAAACTAACAAAGTTATAGAAAGCGCTAGGAGGCCTAGGCATTGGACCTAACGCCTAGAGCCTAGGAGGCTTTTTTATTATAATAATTGATAGTAAATGTCAATGTTATAGAAAGCTTAGGTGATGAACTGATGTCTAGGTAAATTTCTTTCTTTATTTAAGTGGTGGTCGAGAAGGTTTTGTTGAAAGTCAAAGGAGATAGTAAAGGCACATTTGGAGGTTAAAAGAGTTTTAAGAAGGTTGGAGGACGTGGGGGTTGCAACACAAAAAATCACAATCAATGCCTAAATGGTGTAGTCTAGCAGATAACGCTCCTCTAAACACTCCCAAAACCAAGGTGGGCAAGATAGATACCGCCCTTAGGCCTAGATGTATAGTTAGGCGGACTAGGCAGAGACTTTTTAAAATAGTAATACACACACATATGAGAGCACACAAAAAATACCAAAAAAAGAAGGGAAAAAACTACCATGCAGGCAAGCAAGCAACCATTCAAGTAAACTGAAAGTAATCTTCTAATATGAAATTCACACACTAAATTGGAGCTCCAAGTAACTTCCAATGTTTGCTTGCATCAGAAAGAATTATTTTAACTATTTGGGTTAAATCTTTAAAGTCCTTTTATTTCATATACAACAATAAAAAATTCTTTCAAATTTTTTTTATTTGTATGAATACGAACAACTCAAAGAGGAGAATACAAACAATAACGGAATAACGCAAAGATAACTTTTTATCTATGAATTCAAACAACTCAAAAGAGGGATTTTAACCATAAAAAGATTCGAACACAAAAGAGCTCATGAATTAGGGTTTGAAATAGAGAAAAACATCACTAAGAATTGGATTAAAACCTAATCAAGGAGAAGGATCAAGTTACCTACGGATGATTGCGGCGCAACTCGTCTCTGATTAGGGTTTTTGGGGAGAGAAAACTAAGAACTTTATTATGACGATAGAATATGAAGACCAAGTCGATTGGGTATTTAACTGTTGAGCGTTAAATATTAACTAGTCGGCTTAACTCGGCCCGATTTGATGTTGGACTGGAATTACCAGCTAAGGCCCAGTTGATGGCTCTTGTGTTAATACAAGGAAAATTTCACAAAACCGTAATTCCTTGATGTTCCCTTGCTTTTATGCTGAAAAAAAAGAAAAAAAAAAGAAGAGGAGAAGAATATGGAGATTCGCTCTTTTTATGTGACTAATAGAAAAGCCTCTACTCATTCTAAAATGAGCTAGCTCACCATACATATTATTTCCTTTTTATATGCGCCGATAAATAACAATCGATGGTTTATATTCACTAAGCAAGTTACGATAGTAAAGAAACATCTAGTATGATTCTCATTGGAGCCAAATTCTTTATTATTGTATTAAGGGTAGATTTCATAAAAGCCCCTAAAAGTTTAGTTTATTTTGAGATAAATCCCATGACATGATGTCAGGAAATTGTCTCAACACATCCTCTTAGCAGAGTACATAGAGAGTTTTCTAAAACTTTATCAACCTCCATCAGTTTGCAGGTTTTGTGAAATTTTTCTTGTATTAACACAAGAGCCATCAACTGGGCCTTAGCTGGTAATTCTAGCCCAACATTAAATCGGGCCGAGTTAAGCCGACTAGTTAATATTTAACGTTCAACAATTAAATACCCAATCGACTTGGTCTTCATATTCTATCGTCATAATAAAGTTCTTAGTTTTCTCTCCTCGAAAACCCTAATCAGAGACGAGATGCGCCTCAATCATCCGTAGGTAACTTGATCCTTCTCCTTGATTAGGTTTTAATCTAATTCTTAGTGATGTTTTCCTCTATTTTAAACCCTAATTCATGAGCTCTTTTGTATTTGAAATAACGCAAAGATAACTTTTTATCTATGAATTCAAACAACTCAAAAGAGGGATTTTAACCATAAAAAGATTCAAATACAAAAGAGCTCATGAATTAGGGTTTAAAATAGAGGAAAACATCACTAAGAATTAGATTAAAACCTAATCAAGGAGAAGGATCAAGTTACCTACGGATGATTGCGGCGCAACTCGTCTCTGATTAGGGTTTTTGGGGAGAGAAAACTAAGAACTTTATTATGACGATAGAATATGAAGACCAAGTCGATTGGGTATTTAACTGTTGAGCGTTAAATATTAACTAGTCGGCTTAACTCGGCCCGATTTGATGTTGGACTGGAATTACCAGCTAAGGCCCAGTTGATGGCTCTTGTGTTAATACAAGGAAAATTTCACAAAACCGTAATTCCTTGATGTTCCCTTGCTTTTATGCTGAAAAAAAAGAAAAAAAAAAGAAGAGGAGAAGAATATGGAGATTCGCTCTTTTTATGTGACTAATAGAAAAGCCTCTACTCATTCTAAAATGAGCTAGCTCACCATACATATTATTTCCTTTTTATATGCGCCGATAAATAACAATCGATGGTTTATATTCACTAAGCAAGTTACGATAGTAAAGAAACATCTAGTATGATTCTCATTGGAGCCAAATTCTTTATTATTGTATTAAGGGTAGATTTCATAAAAGCCCCTAAAAGTTTAGTTTATTTTGAGATAAATCCCATGACATGATGTCAGGAAATTGTCTCAACACATCCTCTTAGCAGAGTACATAGAGAGTTTTCTAAAACTTTATCAACCTCCATCAAAATCCCATGATGTTAGGAAATTGTCTCAACACATCCTCTTAGCAGAGTACATAGAGAGTTTTCTAAAACTTTATCAACCTCCATCAAAATCCCATGATGTTAGGAAATTGTCTCAACACATCCTCTTAGCAGAGTACATAGAGAGTTTTCTAAAACTTTATCAACCTCCATCAGTTTGCAGGTTTTGTGAAATTTTTCTTGTATTAACACAAGAGCCATCAACTGGGCCTTAGCTGGTAATTCTAGCCCAACATTAAATCGGGCCGAGTTAAGCCGACTAGTTAATATTTAACGTTCAACAATTAAATACCCAATCGACTTGGTCTTCATATTCTATCGTCATAATAAAGTTCTTAGTTTTCTCTCCTCGAAAACCCTAATCAGAGACGAGATGCGCCTCAATCATCCGTAGGTAACTTGATCCTTCTCCTTGATTAGGTTTTAATCTAATTCTTAGTGATGTTTTCCTCTATTTTAAACCCTAATTCATGAGCTCTTTTGTATTTGAATCTTTTTATGGTTAAAATCCCTCTTTTGAGTTGTTTGAATTCATAGATAAAAAGTTATCTTTGCGTTATTGTTTGTATACTCCTCTTTTGAGTTGTTCAGTATTCATACAAATAAAAAAATTTGAAAGATCTTTTTTATTGTTGTCTATGAAATGGACTTTAAAGATTTAACTCAGATAGTTAAAATAATTCCTTCTGATGCAAGCAAACATTGGAAGTTATCACTGTTATAAATAGCGGTAAATAGCCCCGCAATAGCGGCACATTAGCGGTCCTTTCCCGCTACGCTATCGCCCAATAGCAGTGACATATTGTGAAATATGCGTTTTCTGTTCGCAAAAGTGGCCAATAGTGTGCCATAACGATAAATAGTGGGTGGTTGCATGCGAAATCCACTTCTTGAATGCTATTTAAAAGCGGTTTGTGGTTTATTTTTTAAAATTAAACCTGACCATTGACCATTGCATTCCACCGTCTCACAAGGTTTTAAATGTCGGATGGCTGAAATCCATGTCGAATAGCGAAAATCGAGGATATATCCGGGGACATTGACTAAATATCGGATTGTTATATCGGGTAGTGCGCATATGTATAATATCATGTCCTAAATATAATCTAAGTATTCATAAATTCAATATAAACATATTTCATAAATTCTATAGACTAAACATATAAAAAAATAAATAATATATGGATTTGGGTTCATAAATTCTTTCTATCGGGTTCATAAAGAAACCCTTAAACATGAGAACGGGTTAAACGGGTTTGGGTATTTATCACTAAACCCAAACCCGATAACAAAAAACAGATCTTAAAAAAAAGTACCATATCGGCCGATTTTTTAAAGCTAAAAAATAGGCTGATATGCCCGATATGACCCTGATGTTTTCGATTTGACCCTAAAAACCGACATACGAGTTGAAAACGTTCATGTCGTGTCGGTCAAGCCCTCAAACCGATATGTCGACCGACATGTTGGACATGTCGGACAACATTTAAAACCTTGCCGTCTCATGTGATTTTCGACATACTCCCGCCACCTCTCATAGCTTCTGGCACCTACCACAGTACTTCCTCTCACCTCCTTCACCGTAAGTTCCTCTTAAGGCAATCTTTTCACCGCTCAGCTCTTCTTCTCAAAGATGACGACTCTTTGACTCCAGTCATCTTCGGTATTACGTGATGGTTACATGTCTATTTCATGTTTAGGATCTCTTTAAATCATCAAATATATACTTTAAGATTTTTTAGATTTTTCTTTAATCTTTCTTTTTTTTAGTATTTATACATATCAAATTAGACCGCTATTTGACTTTACGTTTTTTACCGCTACTTTATCGCAATAGCTCCAAATAACCTTAGCAATGCCTCACCACTACGCGACGCTATCCGCTATCGATAACCTTGGAAGTTACTTGGAGCTCTAATTTAGTGTGTGAATTTCATATTAGAAGATTATTTTCAGTTTACATGAATGATTGCTTGCTTGGTAGTATTTTCCTCCTTTTTTGTTATTTTTTGTGTGCTCTCGTGTGTCGTTATTTTAAAAAGCCTCTATTTAGTCTGTCTAGTTGGATGCCTAGGCATATGGGCGGTACATATGCTGCCCACCTAGGTTTTGGGAGTGTTTAGAGGAGCCTTATCTGCTGGCTTGCACCCTTTAGGCATTGATTGTGATTTTCTGTGTTGCAACCTCTACGACCTCTAACCTTCTTCAAACTCTTTTAACCTCCAAATGTGAACACCTTTATTATCTCCTTCGACTTTCAGTAAAACCTCCTCGACCACCACTTAAATACATAAAGAAATTTACCTAGACATCAATTCATCACCTAAGCTTTCTATAACATTGACATTTATTATCAATTATTATAATTAAAAAAACCTAGACTCTAGACGTCGGGTCCAACGTCATGACCTCCTAGCGCTTTCTATAACTTTGATAGATCCAAGATAAATCATCAATGCATTAAACATTGGGCGCTCCTAAACGCCGGACTTGGCGCCCAGCGTTTAGACGCCTAAGCGGGCGCCTAAGCGGTTTCTGGGCGTTTTTTCTTTTTTTTTTAATTGCGATACTTGAAGATAAATATATATATACAAAACATATATATATATATATATATATATATATATATATATATATATATATATATATATATATACTCAATCAAAAATACATAAATACAAAAATACCAACACATATGCTATCCAAACTATAATAGTCAATCAAATATGCATACATACTAAATGGTAAGACATATAATATCCCATTTAAGATATTCATTTTCGTTTATCAGGTCCACAGAAGGAACTACTTGAGGACTATCAAAGAACATGAAATTCGTTCAACCTTTACGGTGACCTTTACTTAGCAGGGCAATGACATATAGCTAACTGTCTGTGCTAAAGCAAATAAACAGCAGGCAATGGTGGCTCACTGGCTCCAAAATCACAATTCTTGGGTATTTTAAGCTCTTGGTAAGATTCAGTAAGAAAAGAAACATACTCAAGCCGTAAACTGAGGGCTCCAATATTTGTGATGTGACCTTGCATTGTTATGTCCTGAACAATTGCTTTTATCTGCAATATGATTGTCAAGCAAAGCAAAATGTAAAAGAAGTAATTGTGACATCTTAATGAAATAAGGAAAATCCAGGCATAATTGCATAATATTACGATAAAAGAAACTATTTATCAAGATAGTTATACAAGAGAACACAAGTTCTAACTTAAGAAGCCAAAACAATTACTGCACACAAAAGGTAACCATCACATGGTGAGGATCAGAACAGATGTTGCAATCACATATGAAATGAAAATCAATGAATAATAGTGCATAAAGGTTCACCTACAGAATCAAATTGAAGTTGAGAGGTTGCATTATATTTTACATCGAAAATGGAAATATACATACATGAAGATGGGTGCTAAGTGCAGCAACATTCAGAAATTATGATGCAGGCTGCACATGTATGAATAGAATATTTCGTTTTTGTGAGAATATAAGAAACCAGAAATAGACACCTCAAAATTTATAGTACCTCTAAAGTGAGAGCATATCAAGATCAACACAATGACCGCAAGTAGCACGGGACATCAACTTAACTGCTAGAGCATCAGACCCTAAGAAAGATTTCATACATCTGTCGAAATTTAGAGAAACACAAAAGCTAAAGGGATAAAGAGCCAGGGAAGGAATAAGTTAATTCCTTCCGATTTACATATTTCTTTGAGATAAAAAAATAAATCCCAAGTGTTTGTTGCTAGATTCTGTACTGTGTGTTAATGAGACATACAGATCATCTTCACCTGATTGGTTTTAACTTAAAATTAAACTTAAACAATTAAACTTAAAATTAAACTTATTGTTAACTTATAAACTTAATATTAACTTAAAGTTAAACTAAAAATTAAACTTAAACAATTAAACTTAAATATTGTTTATATTTAAAGACCCTTTAGTCCTTTACCTTGTTACAGAGATGAAGCAGACTCCCAAGGGCTTCGAGATGAGAACGAGGACAAGATAGAAGTCTGATCCGTAGACCGAAGACGAGATTGGAGGTCGAAGACGAGCTCGGGGGTTGAAGACGAGGCTTCGACTATTCGACAGAGGTTCAAGACGAGCTCGGAGATGAGAACGAAGATGAATAACTTCGACGAGATCAAGGAAGAGCTTGGACGTTGAAGACGAGCTCGGAGGTTGAAGACGAGGCTTAGACTATTCGACAGAGGTTCAAGACGAGCTCGGAGATGAGAACGAAAACGAATAACTTCGACGAGATCGAGGGCAAGCTTGGAGGTTGAAGACGAGCTAGGAGGTTGAAGACGAGGCTTCGACTATTCGACAGAGGTTGAAGGCGAACTTGGAAGTGAAGACGAGATCGAAGACGAGGAACAGAACAGGTCGATGGAAATTTCGTGGCGGTGTCGAGTGAGTGAGAATTAGGGTTAGTTTACTTTAGTTTGAGTTTTGGGTTTGGGTTTTTTTAGCGCCCAAGGGTTTTTTTCTTTCAATTGTGAGGCGGGCCGCGTAAGCAGCCCGCTTAGCCCTGGGCGGCTGCCTAGGCGATTCCAATGCCTAATCTTGGTCGCTCAGAGCTTTTCTGCACGCCCTGGGCACCGCCTCCACCTAGGCGGCTGCCCAAGGTGTTTTTTACAACAATGCAAGTCATAGACAAATACTACTTCTGACTGGAAAAATCAATATAGTACAAACTGACACCAAATAAAATTTTAACCATCTCTAAGCTCACATCGTATGTATTTTTCTCACATTTGTAACGTGCATACAACTTAGAAATAGACAAGACAAGTAGAACACAACCAGTCATCAGTATCTTCATACTCGTCACCCTCATTTCCATCTTTTAGCTAAAGTATCTCAAAATCGATATTCATCCCACATTTGCATAGCTAAATCATCTCTAAAGTTGCTTCATTCATATGTAACTCTCACAGTGGTAATACGCTCCTCGTCTACATTCTTAATTTCTAAAACAGGAGCATCTTCTAATTTTCAATCCACATCATTCAACAAGTCATCTTCATTCCTCTCTTCACGTAAAAAGTTGTGAAGAATACAACATGCATTAATGATCTTAATTTGAGTCTTAACACTATAAAAACTAGATGTCCATAATATATCTCATCGCTTTTTTAGCAATCTGAATTCCCTCTCAATTGTGTTTCTAGCAGAGGAATGACGTTGGCTAAATAACTCTTTGTAGTTTCTTGGAACATTTTCTCTCCAAGACTTTATATGATAGCAAGTCCCTCTATAAGACGCCAAAAACCCCGGCCCATTTGTATACCCAGCATCCACATGAAAGTATTTATCTATAAAATCAAAATCTTCAGTCACAACAATGTAAAAACTAGGAGGCAATACATATATAATAATTAAAAAAATTTATATTCCTACTTGAGGGAAGTTTCAAGTCATTGGGCCGATGCAAAGCATCACGCAAAACACGAGAATCTGAAGTTGAACCCTCCTAACCAGGTAGCACATATGGATATCTCAAATTGGCATCACAAACACCAAATACATTTGTACTGGTCTCTCCTTTTCTATTTCAATATCTACTTTGATCTTCCAAAGGAATCGTTAATTGGATATGATTCCCATCAAGTGCCCCGATAGCATCCTAAAATTGCACAACCTTACAATTAGTTCTATAAAAAAAATTATTAAAGATGAAAACCTTGATAAAAGAAGCCATAGTTACCTCAAACCATTTCTACTTCTCCATGTCTCTCTCATTAGGATTTGTATATTCTTGTCTAATATTAGAGGCTTCATATATTCATGACTGCTTGAAGTACTTTGTGGAACTACCGACTAATTGTTTCATTTGAACGATAAAAATCTGTTTTGCTTATCCTATTTTTTACATTATGAGCTAAAATATGCAAAAATATAGCGACAATTTCTTCAATCGTGACATTTCTTGATGCTACTAATCCCCCTCTAGTACATAAAACATCACATAACCTCTTAAACACTTGAGGATTCATCCTTAGTTGTTCAATATAGTTATTTGCATTGCAAATAAGAGTTTGAATCCAAGACTTTCTAAGGTATGTCATTTCATCCTCTTCTTCCTGTGTTCTTGAACTCTCCTTTAACATGTGCTTTGTATAGTACCAAGCACCAATGGTAGGAACTATAAAACTGACCACTACCATAATAATTTCCGCCTCTCTCCTCTCAAATTCTTCCCTTGTACGTTAATGTTGGAACCTTTAATCCCTTCCATCATTTATCATTTTTAACCTCTTAAACGTTTGAGGATTCATCCTTAGTTGTTCAATACAGTTATTTGCATTGCAAATAAGAGTTTGAATCCAAGACTTTCTAAGGTATGTCGTTTCATCCTCTTCTTCGTGTGTTCTTGAACTCTCCTTTAACATGTGCTTTGTATAGTACCAAGCACCAATGGCAGCAACTATAAAACTGACCACTACCATAATAATTTCCTCCTCTCTCCTCTCAAATTCTTCCCTTGTACGTTAATGTTGGAACCTTGAATCTCTTCCATCATTTATCATTTTTAACCTATCACATTAAAAGTTGAACATGCAAGCAGATTACACATACATTCTGAATGTATACTTAGCAGGATGCAAAGTTAATGGAGTCCTAAGAAAAAACAACTTAAGACATAATATCTGAGAGCAAAACTTTTCTTATTTGCGACTTGTTATATATAGGTTTTCATTCAATAAGCAGAAACAAACCCAAGTTAGACTATCAATGAAATGCTATTATAGGCTTTAAGATAGGCTCTCTAGTAATTCCTAATTCTACGGTAATGTCGGCAATTCTAGACACTGATCACTCTCACAATGATCCTTCAGCCAACCATAGTCGACCATCAAAAAAGGGTAGATTCCTTAAACCAAAAACAAAACAAAGCACCCCCACCAACAAAAAAAAATCCTTCAACCACGTATAACTAAAAATTAAAAAAAGGGTAGGAATACTATGGGGACCTGTTCATATCCCCTTACACCCACACCATCCAAAAAACCTTGAGGAATCCACCATTACAGCATAAAACCATAACAAACAAGAAAAGAAAAAAGGGATAAAACAGTCATTTCATCAACACGTAAAATTTCCAATCTAAAACAAGAATAATAAATACTAAAACAAACACAACAAATTCAAAGTAGGAACTAATAACAATAAAAGAAATAAGTGCATTACAAGTTTCTGTTCTGCAAAATAGAATCAAATAACGGAAATTGATCACTGACATCCAACAAGTAGATAGAAACTAGGTAAGCAAACAAAGAAATCTCTTACTTGGTATAGAAACATTGTAATTCTTGAAAGTATCCTAGTTTATTCTCAGCAAAAGTCAAATTTTAAAGTTCTCCAGAAAATTGAGGGGAGAGGAGGGGCATAAGAACAGCAGTTCCTAGGCATTACTTGCCATCTAAACATACACAAGCATTTATTGAACAATTGATGATTACTCCGAAAAAAACAACTTCAAATGGAAAACACATTCGCTTGAACAAACAAAAAATTAATATTCACGTATATGTTACATTATCTTACATTATCAGACTGCAATTTCTGAACTGTATCAAAAGGACAGATTGATGTAAAACATAGCTATGCAATTTCAGCAACATTTGTCACATGATACCATTGGTCTAACTCCTAAATAACTTGAATTTTATCCCACATAACATAAAACCCAGAAACTACAAAATGGGATATTACCTAGCCTGAAACGATCATACTAAGAGAGCCTAAGGATAAACTTAAGCTATCTTTAAATGCTTTTACACCCTTCATACAATCCTATCAAGCGAAAATTAAATATGCAAACAACACTAACACTATCTGAACCAGATGAAAATCAACCTATCACTTGAATTTTCAGCCCCAAAAACATATCAATATAACCTAAATTTTTAGTACAATCAAGCTCCCAGAAAATGTTACATCAATAAGATAAAAAGAAAAAAGGTTGTACCTTTGAGATGAGAAAAGCTCTCCCTACTCGGATTAGCTAAGATTCCGTCATAATCATCAAACCCTAATGCATGTTCATAATAAAATCATCAAAAAATCAGAAACAATTGATTAAAATAATGTTAAGATTACATGAACCACCATCAGTGGAGATCACATCGAGAGTACTAGCTCTGAACTAGGGTTTTGCCGCAAAGATCACGATCTAAACCCTAGATCAGATCTAGGGTTTCGACTGTAGGGGGAGAGGCGGGGGGGAG